AGAATTAAGTTGTAGATTTTTAGTGCTTTTCTCATGCTTTCACAAAAATCAGATTTATGATTGCGGACGGCTCCTATAAAGTGAGAGAGTAATTATAATGTTTGTAATTGGAAGTAATAAAATGTTTATAGCTGTGATTAGTATGTTACTACTATTAATAGAGCTACTGCTCTCATAATTATCTACTTTCTTTAATGGATCTGTTGCTTTGCTCAGTCAAGAACCTCAGAATGTGTGCTTTCTACTGCATGTATCCAAATACTCCTGTTTCTTTGCCTTTTTGTTACGCCTACGCTGCAATCAGTCAGTCGCAGTCCGGTTCAGTTTAGTTTAGGCCATTTACGAATACTTGAGCTAATTAATTAATATATTTTAAAACTGAGTGCGTAGGTCGACAACGGCTAAAAGGCGTCGCTGTTGCCATAAAAGCAACTGCCAACGATTGATATCGAGGCAGAAATCTTCATTTAGAAAACCGCCAATTGCCATTTAGAGCCGATCAACTGATCAGACTCTAGATAAATCCATATTAATACCTGCTTATATATATATACTATATCTACAATAAATATATATATATATATTTACATATACTTGGCTTGTAAGACCTTTCGTGTCATTAGCTATTGGGGGCTAATGAACTTGCCAAATTAATGTGAGCCAATCAGCCGGTTGGACATGATATAAATAACAATAAACAAAACAGCAACTACAACAATTACAACAACAACAACTGTAACTACAACAACAAGACAGAAATTATGCTTGCGCGTATTTAAGGTATGTTTTTTTGTTCCAATTAATAACAGTGCATGTTGTTGGCTTTTCTGACATTTTTCTGGTTAAAAACCAAATGCAAATCTGCAGCGCTTTTTACCATAATTACCTGCGCACTAGTCAGGTGAAATTTCAGGCGCTCAGCTGCCAAATTAACTGCATATTGTTTACGGCTCAAGCTGAGCGCTACACAGCAGGTTTTTCAATTTTGTTGGTTATTTTTTTTTTTGCTAATCAAGCTGAGTAGGGCAGGAATACCGCATATAAGTAATATGTATGTGTATATTTATATATATATGTATATGGCTACCAATTAGCTGACAAGTTGGCGCTGCAAGCAGAGTCATAAATGAGCAAAATTTATTTCCTTTCGTGCTCCATTTTATTATTGTAATCGCCATAAATGTGTTTGCCAGGCAGGCACTGAAATTTCATGTGCTTTTCATTAGCATTTTCAGCATGTTTAGCAATTATACTAATAGTTCATCTCTTATGCGAATTGGATAAACTCGGCTGTTATATTACCTATGCAACTGTTAAAGCATACCACAGCTAGTGAGTATGACAATGATTCGATGACATTTATCGATCATATAATTGATCAAGTTGTGCAAGGCAATGTGATGTGAACAGGCTGAGCTGTAATGTGGACAAAGCTCTTATTTAAGACATTTCTATTGTTTAAATTGTTTAAGTGTGCAAAGAGATTGCCTTATTTGAGTTAAGGAATTGAATTTCTTGCTTAAATGTAAATCGATAATTTCGATAATAAATTGTTGCTAAATTGTATTTTCAAAAAAGCTGTTGTTTCTTTTATAACTCAATTTGCATAAACAAAAGATTTAGTCAGATTGTTGCTCATTGACTTTTAATTATACTTCTAGCCCAAAACACGTTAATCGATAACGATTTAGTGCGTTGCTAACAGAAAACTAAATCACTTAATACACTTGAATATCATTTTGTTTGTGGTTTTTCCTCATTCTTGTTATTTTTTATTTATTTGCTTTTATTGTCTGCGCTGCTCGCTTAAGAAAACGTTGTCTCTTGGCTGTGTTTTATGTTTATTGTTTATTGTTTTGTCTTTTAAATGCTTCGAACGTGCTAAATATGTATTTTGCACTTAATTTTTTTGTTCGCTTTGGTGATTATTATTCGAGTTAATGGCGAAGAGCTGCAAAAAAAGGTCTGCGGCCGTCGCTTGAGGTTGATTTTTTATTTTCTTTAAATTGTTATTGGATATATATATATATATATATATATATATATATATATATATATATATATATATATATATATATATATATATATATATATATATATATATATATATATATATATGAATGATATATATATATATATATAAACATGGTTAGCATAAAATATAAGAGTATCTATGAAATATGCTATCAAAATAAATAAACGGCATGGCAATTGCGAAGGCACGAAGCTTTTAGCTCTTAACTTATGTGCGATTATTGCTTCCTGTATTGCAGTATTCTCTTGGGGCTTTTTTTGTTTAGCCTAGCTTAGATTGTTGTGGCGTATTTGAGGAGAAATCGGGCATTCAACTGGCCAAGAAAAAGAAAAAAAAAAACATAAAAGTATCTTTAGCAAATAAAGATACTCGGCTGCTGTTCACACAAATTAGCGATTGGCAAAGCGTAGCTGCCTACTGATTACACAGAGACGCGCAGCAAAAGTCAAGCAATTAGCCAAGTTAAATACATAATGCATTTGCCTGGACTGCCGACCGGCTGTCACTGCCCGAACGTCTTAACTTGGCCACGCCAAGAGATGCAGCCAAGCGTTCGCTTAGTTTGTTCCGTGCAAGCGCAGTAAATAATATCTTAAGCCACGGCGTGACCGATAAATCTCCAGATCTGGCGCAAAATGATTGCCTTGTAGATCTGCGCTGGGGGTTAATATTGGCTGTGAGCGTGGCTTTTGGTAGCGCCCAATTTGCAGCTGATCTACGCTAAGTTAAGGCAGCGATTACCGTTAAACGGCAGTATATTATCTGCTTGAGACTTACAAATCGTTGCTGAATGCTTTACAATGTTTCGATCTAACCATTTGCCCAGTAATTGGGTCAGTTGTGAGCAGTGGTTGGCAACAGCACTCAAATGTATCTCGAGCCGCACTCGGTTCGCATTGTCAAATGGTTCTCAGCCACACTCACGATACGTCTGTGTCTGTGTATCTATGACTGACTTTTGTGGCCTTTGATGCAACTTGTTTTGGACTCGTTTGTTAGCATTCTGCTGCCAATGCGAGTGGCGACAGTGGAGCGTTAAGTTTGCTGCCAATCTGCAATGGTAAATATGGATTTCAAGTCCCCGCTGCGGCATTATGATTATAATTATAATATCTTAGGGCATAGCCAACACAATGCCGAACCGAAGAGCTGTTATGAAAGCGACCGAAAATATCTAAAGCTTTGAGCTATCGAAAACAGAGTTCGTCTGCGTCACAAGTTGTTCTCTGATGTTGCGCGTTTTTTAGCTTGAAAAGAGCTAAAGCTGATTGAATATGATTGAACAGAATTATAAGTATTTTAGCTTAATTTTCAGTTAGGAAGAGTCAAAATGCTTAAGAAAATAATGAGAATAGAATCTAACTGCCTAATTCCCATTTCTAAAATTTCTTATGTCTAACTAACAAAAACTAGCCGTAAATTGCCAAGAGTTCATTTTACCATCTACTATATTGCAGCTAGTGTTCAACTTCAAGGAATTTGCAGTAGTTTAAGATAGTTGCAATTCCACAGCTAATCACCTTTGATCTATCTATAAGATCATATTCCTCGGGTAGCCTCTAAAAATCAAGCCAAATGTATGTTGTCTGCACTGACTGCAGATCGGTTAGCTGTGCCAGTGGCTGGCTTACTTACGAATAGCTGCTGGCCTTGGTTACTGGTTTCTAAGTCGAGTTGAGTGTCTGGTTGCTTGACTCGCAACACTCGAGCCTATAGTCTTATATATATAAATATATATATAGAAATATTTGTATATTTATATATATAACAGTCGGTATTTGTGGCTAATGGCTAAGATTGAAATGTCATTGTTGTCAGCTTAACGTTTGAGTAAATGCCCCAGCAAAAGATCAGCCACTGCTGTAGCAAAAGCTCAAATTCGAATGTGCTTGGTTGCTAATTTCACATATTTTTCGCTAACACTTCACATTGTTTGGTTGCTCTGTTTATACCCTGTACTCATGTGAAGTTGGGTGTAGTATCTGGTAAAAGTTTCTTTATGTTTGCTCTTGCTTCTCTGTCTCTGCTTGAAGTGCAAGAAAATCTTATAAGAATAGGTATTTGCTAGTCGGATACACTCTCTATGACTCTTTCTATTTGTTTGCTTGCTGTTACTTTTGTTACTTGTTGTTCTTGTTGTTGTTTTTGTTTTAGTGTTTTGAAAAATACTTCAAAGTGCTCAATTTCTCAGTTTGTCAAACACGCGCTCTCGCTCTCGCTCTAACGCTCTCACTCTCTCACTCTCTATTTTTTTCGCTCTATCTGGAAAGAAAAAAATGTTTATCGTTATCTCTTATATCGTACCCTGCCAATTCACAGCTAATGTCTTAAGTCGATTCAAACGCAAGCTAACAACTGCTGCACGTATGTCCGAAGATCTGGACGAGCTGTTTCTGTCGCCGATACCGGCCCCAACGCCCGTCGAGCTGCAGCAGTGCATATTGTTTGGCTTCCGCCGTCGCCTCAATCCCGCCCAGATACTCGACGAGTGCCGCAACGCGTTTGGGCCGTTTGCGCCGAGTGCGCAGTATGTGGCCAGATGGTATCAAAGATTTCAAGATGGACTCTTTACCATTGACGACAACGTGGAGGACGAGTGGGGTGTGGGGCGTGGCCAAACGCCCACCACATGCAGTGACTTCAATGACGATGAAGATGATCATGATGAGGATGGTGATAATGGCAATGACAATGACAATGATCAGAGTCAATTGCCGCTGGTGTTGCATGATCTAATGGGGCATGGGCGTAGCGATAAGGATAGTTATAACGATCCCGATGATTATTATAATGATAAACCTGATGATGAACTGGTTGATGAAGGGAACGTAATTAGTTATTGGCACGGCTATGGCTATTTGGGTGGCAAGCGAAGGTATGCCACGAACAGCACTAGACTAATGTACTCCTAGCTCTTAAGTTGAATTGAAAGTATCTTTAATTGAAATTCTTTTTCCATTCACAGCGGAATGTCCATAAGCGGCTTGCCGCCATTGCCAAAATCATTGAGTGGTTTCAACAAGCTGCTCGGCTCCGATTCGGGTCTCTTGAGCGATGTGGATCTGGCGCAGCAGGAGCTTAATAACAACAACAATAACAACAGCAGCAGCAGCAAACAGGAGAACGACAGCGGCAACAAATTAGCAAGCCAAATAGTTAGTGATAACAACAACAAAAGCAACAACAACAATTTGAGCGGCGATAAGCAAGCATCTAAAGACAGCAGCAGCAAAGATAATGCAAACGATAAATCAGCAACGGCTACAGCAGACGCTGCTACAGCAACACCAATAGCAGCAGCAGCAGCAACAGCAACAGCTACAACTACAGCTACAACAGCAACTCCCAATGCAAATGAAAATGAAAACAATACAACAACAGCAATAACGACATCAACACCAAGCTCACCTGCAAAAATCAATGTAACGGGCAGCACTTTGGACGCGCAGATAGCGACGCTGCGCAAGGAAATGGTAAGTCGATTAGCCAGCACCTCATAATACCCTACAGCTTAAGACAAGTTGTATGATTTAGTCAGGCAGCTTGTAACAAAACTCGTTAAGCAACTTTCAAATGTTTTAGTAACAATTTCGATTGATGCAAGTTTATTTTTATTTAAGCAGATAAACTGGATTTTTATATGGTTCTTAATCCAGTTTCATCATTGATCTAACGATTTTAATGTATTTGATATAATCTCTATAAATGTGCCATTTAGTTATTTTATTCATCTATCTAAAATACACAGTTCACTAATATAATGTTATATAAAAAAGGTAGAAAACCAACAACTGAATTATACGTCTATTCAGTTGTTGGTTTTCTACCATTATGCACTACAGCTGTCATGAAAAGTTTCCATTGCAATAATATAGGGTATACGATTTGTCGATCACTTGTGCTCGCACACATCTTACACGCTGCATTAAAATTCTAAGAATTCGTTCGAGCAATTATTCATGTTCCTCACATGGGTAGGGTATATGTATTTCGACCAGCTGAAAAGTGATTTATTGCGTTTCTTCTTTTGATCACATTTTGAGGGATGCGGTGGTGGGGAACATAATTTACATATGAAACGAAGCTTAGCTAAATTCTGTTATAACCAAAGTGAAAATGCAACAATGGAACGGAAATGTTTTCGATTTGATAAATTTGTATGTGCATACGTATGTGCCGGCCTTTCAGCACTTGAATGCCATAAAAGCAATTTCAGATTTCACTGTTTGAAAATTCTTCAGTTTTCAGTTGCACATTTTTCATATCCAATTGTGTGTGTGTGTGTGAGCGTGTGCGCTCGAGTACTCCGTATCTTAAAGTTAGTTCATTTGTCATATTTTTGAGCAACAAAAACAATTGCATTTTTGGGCGCAGCTTTCTACGACTTTGACAAATGATCTCAGGTATATATATATATATATATAAACACATTTATATGTTTATATATTTGGAGTAAATATATTATTTGATTCTTTTTGCACGTGAGATCAGCTTTGTGTGCTGCAGCTGCGATCACTTCTATATAACAGCGAAAAGAAAGTGTCGAAAACTTTCGGTTTTGCTGGCTGGCAGAGTTCATGAATATTTCAGAGCATTAAATAAGCTCAACTCTCAACTTTGACATTGTCGCGCTGGGGCCTAAGCTGATATAAATGGCCATAAAGCATGGAAATGGTCAACGAGTTGGGTCAACAAAGCGAAATGCAAATGCAGCTTTTATTCATTAAGTCAAATTGGCAAAGCAATTAACTTACCCATTGAAAGAGATTGAGTTAGACAGTGAAAAAGAGAGGGAGAGAGACATGATGGGGCGGCCTTTGGCTTTAAAGTTGTCTAGCTTTTGTTTTGTATACGGCCGGGTATATGGTGGGGGCAGCTGACATTTAGCCAAACACTTTGTCAAACTTGAAAGCGCAGACGCAACGCTCAGCTTGGCGTTAGGCTCTTCAAATAATGGATTCATTTGACATCGTGTCTTGGGGCATCATCAGCCGACAGGGCAGCGGGCATTGATGAGCGAATGACGCTTTAAGTCAGCTTTATAATTGCGATGCATCAACAAGCAAATGGGAATTTCAGCGTGAAGCAAGAGAAGCTAGGAAATACTCTACTGACACTTTAATAAGACATCAGATGAAGAAAAAAAAAACAGTTAGTTATTTAAACTTGAAAAAAAAACTTAATTACATTGAAGAACAAGTCTGAAGTGTTAATTAAACTGTCACAAATATGGAAAATATTATGAGATCTTAAAATCTGATCTAAAAAGGCAACAAACCAGCTAAGAATTTATAGATAAATGTTGAATTTTCCTTATAAATCAAAAACATATAAATATATATGCATAGTTTTATATATATAAGTTTTTATATATCATTTAGAATATATGTGTCAATTAGCTCAAGGCAATTTGTAGCTGTGGCTGAAATTCAACTCGCATCCGTTTGCGATGCGGATTCGAATGATTTGAAGTTTCTCACATGCCAAGCGACTTAAGGCATTTATCCAGTTTGTTTTTGAGCTGATCACGAACTGCACATGGCATTCGCATGTGAATTGTGACACGTTTTTTGAGGCAGCCACCTGACTGTCATTGGTCTATTGGTCGTCGTGGCCAGGCCCACAAGCACCGAGCCAAGTCTTTGCTGACGTTGTTGCTCTTGACCAAGCCTCGACAACAGCAGACATCATCTTTGCTGTTGTCACCGACAGTTGACAGTTGATTTGTAATTTAGTCTGTTTTTTTTATTCATTTTCATTTTTATGCTGCAATTAAATAAATTAAAATTTTGTCTGCACTTGCGCAATAATTTAACAATTTGTAACGCAACTGCGACTTGTTTTTAATTGCAATCGGATTGGGCTTTGTGGGCCAGCCTGAGCTTGGGGCTTGCCAATTGCCGAATGCCGAATGCCGAATGCTGAATGCCGAATGCCGAATGCCGCCTGCTTGTGTCTTGCGGCCGGGTCTAAAGTCTAACGTCTAACGTCTGTGGCCAAAACCTTTCACATTTTATGTGCCAGTGCTTGGGCGACCTTTTACAAAGAACCTGTTTAATGTACACCCAGGCAGGCGTAGGTGTAAAACTAAAACACAAATTACAATTGTCGGCTGACTAGGAGCGGCCACAATTCGAGTTGAACTGCGGCTGCCACAGATTTTGGCCCCCTTTTTTCCAATTTGGCCTATTGTGTGCTCTGTTTTGGGCGCCAATTTGAGCGCGTTTAAGCCATTTACCAATTTACATGCCAATTGTGCAATAATTCTGCGACTCTTTTACTTCTTACTGGGTCAGGCGTCATCTGTGGGCTGGGCTGTAAATTGGCCCCGCCCACTGGCCTCTGCCACCTGCCCCTGCCCCTAGGTATCTGTTACCTGTTACAATTAAATTACAAATGTTGCTATGTGTCTTGTTACCAATTACGCTCCACTTGCTGTTATTATTATTGTTGTTGTTCTCTCTCGACTAATTTCACGCGTTCAAAGTCGGCTCGTTCGAAGTTAAAGCCAAAATGCCGGACAACGCCAACGCCAACGCGCGCCCAATGACACAGTAATTGGTCATTGTTTTTGTCCAACCATTATTTATACACTGCACAAAATGAGGTAGTAAGTGTACAAATAACTATTATGCAACAGCTTAACAAGATACATTAGGTATGCAAACATCTTGCATATTATGACAGAAGTTGCAGTATATAAATATATATAATTTTTGTATATATATATATATTTATATAATATACAAAAAACATTAATGCGTATATAGAATATAGAATAGGAATATGGAACTGAAGAATATTTTTTGACATGATTTTAACAATAAATTAATATATTTTTTATTTTATAAAAATAAAAAATATAAATTTCCAAGTTTGCTTTTATGGAAAAAATATTTTTAAGTTTTTATTCCATTTAATTAATAACTAAAGAATATTTTCAATTTAAACCAATACAAATATTTTTGAATACAAAATATTTTTTAATAAATTAACTTAATTATATTTTGTATATTTAGAACGTAAAAAATTTGATTTTAACTATTTATTTATTTTCTATACAAGAATGTTTCCTAAAAAGATTATTGTATTATTATATTATATTATAAAAATATTGTTTATCATATAAACGAGATTAAGCAAATATGAAATTAAATGTTTCATATATATAAATGTTGAAAATCCTTACTCGATCTTTTATAGAGTATACAATAGGTGAGTTACCTTTGTATAGTTAGCTGGGCTGCATTGGATAAACATTTAAATTTACTCGTTTACAATTGAGCGCGGCCTGTCGCCGGGCCTCGAGCTTGTGGAGCGGCAGAGTGCGGGCTGGGGGCTGTGGGCTTTGGGCCTGGGTTAGTTTTCCTTTGTTTTTTTTTGCAAATGTTGCGGTTGAATGATTAACGATTCAAGCTGTGAACTGTTGGTGGGTGTGTTGCACACATACACACACTCACTCACACACACATAGACAAACAATGCACTGTGTGTGTGCTGCAATTATGTTAGTTGGCCGCTTTTGCTTTCAATTGTTCAATTGCGATAAAAACCAAAGAAATTGATACTCTTTCGCATCGACATACATACACATTGACGTATGGAATACGTATTTATTTATAGGTTATTTCTGACTATGATTTTTTTCTGCAATCTTGCCGTTTATATTCGCTCGGTTCAATTATGAAAACTGAAAGTAAATAGTTGGCTGAAGGTCAGCGAGACCGTTAATATTATTAGATCAGCTTTCAAATATGCCATAAACGCAATTATATTATGCAAACTTCAATTTATGTCAATTGGCAACAAATGATAAATTGCTGTATGCTTTCGATAATAAAAACATTTCGATTATGCGCTGTTGCCGAGACGGAAGTTGTGTCTGGGGCTTAAAATTTAAATAGGTGTGAGGATATGTGGGATTGAAGCTGATAAGCTTAGATCTACAATTTGTTGTTACTCAACAAGATTGTTCATTATTGAAGCACTTAAATCAATTGAGAATTCAAAGCGGAAAATAGTAAAAATTGTAAACACAAAGTACTAAATATAATGAATGCCAATTTCATGTGGGAAACATTTAATGAGATTATTTTCTTCTGCAAAAACGTTGCATGCAAATTGATTGGTCTGCTAAACTAAATGCTCGACAACTATAATTATTATGTTGAGGCTGATTTTCTGCTCTCTGCTCAATTTTCATTTCATTTAGTCCGTTTTCTGTTCGAGCTCCGATTGATTTCTAGGTCTTAGCCACCCGTAGAAGCTGTCAGTAGGACTTAAGCTCATCTCTACCCAGTTGCTCGGCTGTAGATAGCTTTCGCCGTTGGCCTTCGCATATTTCTAGGAGTGCTGCGCCTCTAGAAAACCACATGCATTCCATATTAATGAGCAGCACATCTGGAGTCTCGTCAATTACAATTATCCAAGCCAAATTGCGCTCAATTGTTAAGCTTTTGTTGTCCTCTTAATG